GGACTGAGGATTGAGTGTTGTTTGCATTTTTAGTGGACCTCATGAGCTGGATGAGCTGGGTGAGCTGGGTCTCAGAGCTGACTGAGCTGGGTGCGAGAGCTGACTGAGCTGGGTCTGGGAGCTGACTTGAGCTGACTGAGCTGGATGAGCTGGGTCCAAGAGCTGACTGAGCTGGATGAGCTGAAAAATTTGGGCGAGCTCAACTCAGCCATTTTCCATTCTAAGTGGAAGATGTGTACACGGGTTTCCTCCATTTGGGATGGAAGAATTTTGCAGCCACAGGTGCTTCTGTTTCACCAACTTTATCTACTATTTCCTCCTCTTGAGACTCTTCTCTCCAAAATCGTGTTAATGCAATCTCATGCAATGATAAAACTAACTGTGTTGATCCCAAGATGATATCCAGACCCAGCGGATTAGCTGTGAAAACAGAGGAGAGGGAGTTGTTTGAATCACCCCTGGAGGTCTCACCTAGTTTCACGTGGAGGCCAGAGGACCTCACAAAGGACGAGGCTATGCTGCTGCTTTGGCACAGAATCTTTGGACACGCCAGCCTGAGAGTCATTCGGAGATTGGTGAAACAGCAGGCCGCTTTTGGATTACCGGAGAAGATGCCAGCGGGCCACCTGCGTTGCCCGGTATGTGCTATACACAAGAGCAACCGAACAGGCACACTTCAAAAGTCAAATCGGTCGGTAAAACCCCTAGAGATTCTAAATGTTGATCTGATGGGACTCTTCCCCATTGAGACCTATCACAAGGGCCGCTATGTGCTAACCATCAAAGATTTAGGTTCCGGTTATAATGAAATAAAAATTATGACAAATAAATCAGACGCTAAACAAACATATTGTAGATACGATAAACAGGCTTGAAACGACAAACAGAACAGATGGTCAAGGTTTTAAGGAGCGACAATGGAGGGGAGTTTGCAAATAAGGCGCTGGCTACGTTCCTGACATCGAAGGGCATCTGGGCGGAGAGGAGCTTACCCTATCATCATTATAAAAATGGAGTAGTGGAACGCTTCAACCAAACAGTTTCCGACATGGGGAGAACGGTACTGGGGGATAGTAAGTTGCCCCAACGGTTCTGGGGATTCGCTTTTGAATGGGCTTCCTGGACCCTCAATCAACTGCCTAACAAGACCAGTGGAGAGAAGACACCATATGAGGCTCTGTTCAAGGTGAAACCACAGCTGGACAAAGCAAGGATTTTTGGAAGCGTAGCATATGTATTTCATCCCCCAGAGAAACGAAACAAGCTGGCTGATCACGCTGTTAAAGCACATGTTATTTCACATTTAGACAAGAGCAAAGGCTGGATGTTCTGGGTGCCGGAAACGGATCAATTGGTGACATCCGCCTGGGCTGTCTTTGAAGATATACCAGGGGCACCAATGCTTACGACGGAACAAGTGAATAAACAGCTTAAGACTTCACTGACAATTGATTTAAAGAGCAATCTTATTTCCCTAGGTGACTTCTGGCATGAGTTGGCGTATAAACAAGAGGAGCAACTAGTGGACAATGTTATCATCAACTGCGGGTTCTATTCTGCTGGAGTCCCGAAAACGTACAAGCAAGCTAAGAAATCGTCTGATTGGGAACGGTGGAAAGCAGCGGTTGAAGAAGAACTCAGTAACCTGGACAGGAAGCAAGTTTGGGAAGTGAAACTCATGGACTCACCAAAACAGGAACTTGATGGGAGGTGGGTTTTCGCGATAAAAACGGCTACAGATGGAACGGTGACCAGATACAAGGCGCGATATGTGGCAAAAGGTTTTACACAGGTCAAAGATGTAGAATTCAAGAAGACATTTGCGCCAAATGCAACCTTTATGTCTATGAGATTAGTACTAACACTTGCAGCAGAGTATAACTGGCCTGTTCACTCCTTTGATTTTGTAGCGGCATATCTGAACTCGGAAATTGATGAAGAAATCTGGATTAGACCGCCGGAAGGTATGGCCTTGGGACCTGGCGAAGGACTGCGACTCAAGAAAGCTCTTTATGGGACGAAGCAAGCCGCAAGGTGCTGGTGGCTTCACCTGAAGAACATTCTGTTGGAATTAGGGTACTCGGCAAGCCACTACGATACCAGCCTCTACGTCTTACAGGATCCTTCAAAGATTGGCGTAATCTGGATTCATGTGGATGATGGTATTGTAACGGGCGACTCCATTGAAATACTGCGGAATCTTGAAACTTCTCTTGAAGGTAAGCTGGAAATAAAATGGAGCAATTCACTTGACTCAATAGTGGGAGTCGATGTTACCAGGTCTGAGGGGGCATTCACTCTCAGTCAGAAGAAGTTAGTCTCAGATATCTTGTCCAAACACTGGGACGGTTTCACGACAGCAGCAACACCTTTGCCTTCTAACCTTGATATCAATTCAGAACAAGATGGAGACCCTTCCACCTCTACAGTCTATCTTTCTATTGTCATGTCTCTTAGTTATGTAGCAGTGGGTACACGACCGGACTTGTCTTTTGCAGTCAATTTCCTGGCAAGGTTTTTGGCATCACCCGGACCATCACATTGGAAAGGAGTCCGGCATCTGGTAAACTACCTAGCACAATCGAGAGATCAAGTCCTTACATTGAAACCTGCCAACGATCCAAAGGCCCTGAAGTGTTACTGTGATGCATCCTGGGGTGGAGAACACTCCAAGTTGACCTATGGAATCTTTGTGACCTTTATGGGTTGTCCTATTCTTTGGTCGTCCCGCAGGCTGGCCACAGTAGCAGCTCCTACTTGTGAAGCGGAGTATATGGCATTAGGCATTGCGACTAGACACCGTTCAATTTGCTAAGACATCTTCTGCGGGACATACTGAGGAA